GATGAAGTGAACTAAAGGCACCCATGGTATTAATTTAATAGCTAGCTAACTTTTAAAATTAAGATTGTATTTTCAAAATCAATTTTTACTTACCTCCTGATAACCACTGACTCATTTATGTTTAATCTTGTGGATTGTATTTCTTTACTCACAGACACCAGTGTAGATGAAAGGAAATTTGAGTTCTGTCTGTGACAAACAATCTAGCTTCCCTGTGGCTCAGCTAAACTTTATTCATAAAATATAGATTAGCAAATTCTTAGAGAGGTGAGACAATGATTACATTTTCTATAATATTTTTTATAATTTAAAATGACATTTATTCTACATCCTCAAAAGCATCATTTTCTTGTGTAGTCTTTCCTGTGTAGAGAGAACTCCTAGGAAGTTTATGGGACTGAAATTCTGCAAAACATGGGCTCTGTGGCTGAATCCCCAAGGCACTGCCTGCAGACTTGGGAGAGGAAATAATGTTTGCTGAGTGTCTGTTAAGTGTTCTATTTATCTGACCTCATTTAAGTCATAACAACCAGTAAGTGGTAGATCCATGATAGGGATGTGGTTTGGCTACCCCAAAGTCAGGGCTCTGTCCACCACATCAAGAATGCTCACTGGGTTTCATCTTCTGTGCTGGTTTATTGGAGTAGGATGCTGAGGACTCTGATGGGTTAGCTGTGTTTTCCATGGGCAGGAAGGGGGCGGGGGCAGGTCCTATGCCTGCCATTGTTGTCCATCCCTAAGCTCTGTCGTGTTACTTCTCATGGAAAGATCTGGGTGCCTTATCAGGAGAATTTTAATTCATTTCATAAACTATGTATCTGGGACAAGTCCATGGTTAATTCATCCTGATTGAGGGAGGTACCTTTGATTCTCCCTCATTTCACTTTTACCATCTCTATTCCATGTATATCATCCAATTAACTAAATTCTAGGATTGATGCATTTATTTCTATTTGTGGTATGTATTTGTTTCAGGCAGAGAAAGCTGATGGATTTGTCAACCTGCCTGATTTCACTGTTGAAAGAGCATCTGAATGCAAGAAAAAACAGTAAGTTGTGTCTCATCCTCCACAAAACTCTGAGCTATGATAATATGCCTTCATAATGTTCATCAAATGATGTGGTGATTTAGAAGTGAGTGAAGGAAACACTCAAATGTCTGAGAGTTTTGAGCATTATGGGTTGGCACCCTACATAGTAATGGAAACATTTAACCTCTCGTTTTCTGGAATTTCATTTTGTGAAGCAGATGGGTTTTAAAAGCCCCATGAAGCCTTGGCATGGAATGTTGTTTATGACTGTGTCTGTGATGAAATAAAAAGCAAGCTCCCATCCAGGACTGGCAGGGAGGTCAGATGTCAAGTTTTTGTCCTTGTAAAAAGAAGAACGAATAGTTAGATAAGACTCACCAGAATTGCGGACATGATAGCAAGAACAGTTTCTCTTTCCTAGTTCATGGAGCTGTCAGAACATGTATGGAATTGAATTCTCTAAGATGTCTTAAGCTTGGGGATTATACCTCAATATAATTTAAGTCCGTCCAAAAGATTTTAGAACTGACAGGGACCAAAGAAGTTGCCAGGTCATGGTCCTTGTTTGACTGAGAAAGAGACAGCCCGGAGAGTCTGTGACCTGCCTAGAGCTCACGGGAGAGCTGGCTCCAAACCCAAGTATCCACACTCAGCCCAGTGCTTTTCCCATGATAGCATCCTGCTGTCTTTTGCATATGTGTCCTCGTTCACCTTTTCTTATTATTTCTTCTACGTTTGGCATCTTTTCCAGTCTTATCAGAAAGGGGCATTTCCTTATTGTCCTGTTACTAGTTGGAGCAATTGCTTGGTTGCTTTCTTCTAAGAAAATTAATAAACTGGTGTTAGCTTTAAGTCTTTGCCTCTCTGTAGTTGCACATCTCCAGTGACACACGGGCAGTATTCGTTGTTGTGGTTTTTGACTGGTTACTTACAAAAACCCTGGCCTGTGCTGCAGGACTTCCGGTCTAAATGGTGAAATGGAATCACTTTATTGCTTGTTCTCTTCAGTGTTTTATACTTTTCATTTCAACTAATATTGACCCAGTATTTTTCCTTTACTCATAAAGGGTTTTTGGATAAGGTTTTTGATGTGTTATCACAATATGGAAGTTCCATACCTGATTATTCTCCTATAAATAAAATCCTTTTGTATATATGATTGAATTTGAATAAATACTTTGTTTGATGGAGTTGATCTGAATATTTTGAAGTGAACCCTTTATCAGCCTAAATTTTAATTTATTGTATCTTTATAGCAAACCAGTTAGCAAATGAAAAGGAAAGAATATACCTCTATGTTTTCAGTGGATACTATTGAGCAGCTAAGTGTCCTGTTTTGGATGTCCTGACATAATAAATTGACCCTCAGCTCCCTATGTGAAATAGGGACTAGAAAATAGGTATTTAATGTGACTAAGTCATTTTTTTTTGTAAATTTACAAAGCAGACGAGCTTATAATGCTTATGTTTGACTTTCAGACCCATTGGTGACTGCAAACACTAATTTCTTAAATGTTTGTGCCTTTCCCCCTTTTAGTGCTTTTAAGATCAGCCATCCACAGATCAAGACTTTTTATTTTGCAGCTGAGAACACGCAGGAAATGAACGTGTAAGTAGAGGAAATTGGTAAATCCAATCCTCATGGCAGTATATTACTTTGGTCAGGTATTGGAATTTTAAGCATATGTTCATATCAATTACTGTTTTATTTATTTCTATTTAAGGATTAATTTCTTTAGAAGTTGTAAGGTCTTCTTGCTTTCTTCTCTACTAATTGGAAGCATTTTGGAGAACTATGCATATCGAAATGGCTATTTTAGGAAGAGTTTGTATGATTCTTCTGAGAGAACCCCTGAGTTGAGAAAGAAATAGACAAAAGATATATGAAAATGTGAAAATGAGACTCGCCAGCACAAGGAGAAGGATTTGAAATGATTATGTAACTGATTTCTCAGCTTTCTGCATGCAGAATCTCTCCACAGCATTTAACATGTGCTGTGTGATTATCGTGATGATTCATGTGTTTGTCTCCTCTTGGGGGATCCTCCTGAACATTTTGCAAAATGTCCGTGCTCAGAGTATGTCTAACTTAATGTTTTAGATGCTTAGCTCCATTTCTGGTCTGCTTTGCTTAATTAAGTGGGCTGTATGTGTGGAATACTGCCAGCCCTACACGGTCCCCTACTGCTTTAGATTCAGATGTGATCACAATGGCTGTTGCTTGCATCAGGCTGAATTTAAGGTGCTGAGCTGAGGCATCAGAAAGCATTCTATTCAAGTTAGCCCGATTCTCACAATTCTTAGTGTCTCTTACTACTTTCCCATCACCAACTGAAAATATGTTTATGGAACACCTACCATGTGCCCCATTGCAGCAGATGCTGGGCAATAGCAATTAAAAACCTACACGTAATTCCTCTATTCATAGTGTTTATGCTTAGTCTATTTTATTTATTCATGGTGATTTTCTTACCTATATGCCCTGTATAATTTTTCTTTGCCCTTTTGCTCTAGAAAATTAAAGCAGCTACCCTTTTGCCCTAGAAACAAAATGCAGCTGCCTTTCACCAAACATGCAGACACACACACACACACACACACACACACACACACTTCCTACAGGACATCCGGTCAGCAGCCCTGTCTGGCCAGAAGCATTGTCATCTGCCCGCTGCACTCACCTCCCTACCATAGCCCTTCAGATGAGGGCAGAATGGCATTGGACCAGAAATTTGGGAAGCCCTGTGTTAGAAATAAGAAGGCAAGGAATTGACAATTGAGTCTTCCAAACAAGTCATTGATTTGATTGGACAAAGAGAAAAATTGTTTCTACCTTCTTTCTGATTTTAGCTTTTTTTCCTTGGCTTTCTTAAGCATCTAAGAAAAATGAGAGCAAGTACACAAGAGCAGAGGATTTTAAAATCTTCACAGTTCAAGCTCTTTACTTAGGTTTTTAATCTGCATTGGTAGCTAAATCCTGTTGAGTAGCAAGGCCCTGCCGTGTAAGTGGCATGTGGCAGGAATAAGGTCTTGTCCACTGGTACTGGGAGTCCTGTGATAGCCGAGCAGTTAGTCCCAAGTAGTCCGTTCTGGTCTTTAATGGCGGTGAAACAGTGCTGCCCGCCACCCCTTCCCCAGTGTCCCCTGCCATCCCTGGCTTTTGCTCCCTAAAAGTGTCTTGCATCTCTGGCTTTCCTCCCTGGCCACATCCTTCCACTCGTCCTGTGGCTGATTCTCTCGAAGTAGTCCTCTCTCCAGCAAGAGGTGAGTGAGACTGTTCACCAGAAAAACAATCGTTTGTAAGTATTTTGTTACCTAGTGAATTTCTCCTCCTGTACAATAAAATACATTTTTAAACCAGTAAAACTGTGAGACCCCTCCATGGTCATCTGAATCTGTTGTATTTCAGGCAGATTTTCTCTCTAAACCACACGGCAGAGTTTATTTAGCTGCCTGCTTGCCTTCCTCACCTCCTCAGCGTTTGTCTACATTTCCCGTCCATTTAGCTTCGGCCCTGTGTTTTCCCGTTGCAGATGCCTATTGAATGACAGAGGTTGCATGGTGGAGTGGCATGAGGATTAGCATAGATATGATATAGATATATAATACTCCATCCTGTTGGTGGTTAATCAAAGCCTTTCACAGTTATCAAAACCAAGATCTTACTGCCTCTCTATGCTGTGAAAACCAGTTAATTTTACTTGAAATTCTCTTAGTGGTTATCTTTCCAGCTAACAAACAAGATATAAATTGAAATTTGAACTTGAGGTATTTTAACTCCATGTTTTTGAATCTCTCCGTGACCCTTATACTTGAAAAATGCCCATCTGGCCACTCGTAGGTAAATGTTTCATTTTATCTGTACCTGAAATATATCATAACTTATTGTATTTATAATATCATTATTATTATTCCAAAGATGACTTTTTCTAATAGTCGACAATGAAATTTCTGCCTCATCCCACAAGATAATGCAGGTGATGTTTAGAGATTTATTTTGCAATAACACCCGAAGTGCTTCCTTTCTTACTGACGCAGCTTGTTTGAGCCAGTCCTGGGTATTACCCAGTGAGATGCAGGGGTGTAGGAGAGTGAGGGGTGGCATTTACTGTGATGAGTCCTGTTTTAGAAGTTCCCCTCCTTGGGTAACTGCGTTTCTGGATGGCGATATTCCCCTCAGGGACGATGAAGGGAAAGGTAATTAAGTTTAATAGAAACTCCACATGTTCTGCAGTGAGTCTCAATTTAAAAGCACAGGGGTAAGTAATTAAGAGTAATGAAAGAGTTGGTTTCTAAGCAGAAACGGTAGCTACCTTTTTCAGACAGTGTTTGTGGGAAAAACACTCTTGTTTTGTACATTGATTTCTTAACACTTGTTCTCCTCCAAAACATACATATTCACATCAAGTTAAAATACAACAAACTCCCAGGAAACATCAGTCATCTTCTTTTATGTAAATATAAGTCCTTTTGTGCATCCATCTATTTAGCCACAAATAGAAGTTTTCCTAATGCCACAATGTTTAAAAAATGTTCTTAGCAAAGAAGGTACTCTGAGCCTTGTCAGTGTGTCCTAGAAAGAAAACAGTCAAACAAGATTCTAAACAATCACCAGGTTTTCACAAGTAACTAATGGTTGCAATGAACAGGACATGAGTTTTGGGTAAGGGCTGAGAGGAATCTTTTCTTTATTGTCAATACTCTTCCATTTTCCTATATTTCCATGTTCTGAAATGAAGCTTAGAAATGCCCTTTCTTGTTTCAGACACTCTAAATTCTAAACTATTTTTTGTCTTTATATTTTTAAACATTTTTTTCCTATTTCATTTTAGATGCTTTTTTGGGAGGAGGATCAGCTTATAAAATTATGAAATCAGATGTAAGCTAAAAATTGTTATGGTATTTAAAAAAGTGAACCAATAAATTTATTGTGTTTTGCCTACTTTTAAATGTTTATTGTAGTTAAGTAATACATAGAACATACTGTTATAAAAAATATCAATACAGAAGTAGAAAAAGTGAAAAATTTCTCATACCCCTGCCTTCACTTTCCAATTCAACTACTCTTTCTAGGGTTAACCACTTTTAATAGTCAGATATGTAACAATTTTCTCTGTATACCAATTCATGCACATACACAAATATATATTAATAGTTTTTAAAATACATTAGATCAGACTAAACGTATTATTCTCTACTTGCTCTTTTCAGTTAACAGTATGTTAGGATTTTTCCAAGTTGGTACAGAACCCTCCTCCCCATTTTAGCCTTTTTATTAGCTTTGTCGTAACATAGTATTGATAGAATCAATGTCATAAGTTATTTATCCATTTTCCTATTAATGGACAATTATATTGTCTCAATGGATTTTTCTTTTTGCCCTTATAAGCCTTGTTGACAATTAACATTCTTCCATATTTATAGTGTATACTTGGTATACACTAAAGTGTGTTTGTGTAGGATCAATATTTATAATTGGAATTTTTGGGTGAAGGGGATGGACGTTTAAATTTTGAATAATATCATCATATTGCCTGCTCAAAATAAGCTGTGTCAATTTTCATGGTCAATTCAACAAAGGATGAGAATGTTCATTTTTCCATTTTCTCCTAAATACTAGAAATCAATATTTTTAATTTTTTTCTATCCAGTGGTGAAAATATTTTTCTGTGTTTGAATATATATTCCCTAAAATACTATCAAGACTGAGAATTATTTTCATATATTGTTTAGCCATTTGCATTTCTCTTGTAATCTTCTGTCCCTTTATTTTGTCTATTATTCTCTTGAGACTTGATAAACATCTTTGGGTTCCTACGGCATAATCTGGGCTCTTTATTGGTCCAATTTTAAGTGCCCACTAGATAGCCTGTGTTTATCGTGGTGCTGAAGGGAACTCCTTAAAGGAGTTCCTTCTTTAGAAACTCCTATTTTTTTTATTTTTAAAAGTCAAATTTATTATAAATTTCCTGTTAAAAAATAAGGGATATGGCAAGACCATGGCAGATTGAGGATTGGGTAAGGATCCCTAATCAGTTGGCAATCGTAGACATGGGAATGTGCAATATTTATGTCCTGGTGTAGGTGTGGCATACTGAATTGTTCATGAGGTATTGCAGGACTAGGAGAAATCAAAAGTATAAATGAACTGATAAATGTATAGCATTATTATTGTAATTTTGTCAGTATTGGTTGACTTAGGCTACTGTCGAATGCTCTGGTTTCTCAAAAAAAATATATAATACAATATGGAGTATTTTAAAGAATACAGAAAACTGGAAAGAAGTGGGAAATAAATCATCTAGATTTTCACTGTCTCAAAACAATGTTTTCTGTGTAACTATAAGATTATATAGTTAGGAATATATGAAATAGACATACTTTGTATCCTATCTTTTAAAAATTTGTGTTTTAAAACATGTTACTAACTAAACCCTTGAGAAGGAACTACAGTAATCTGAAATCATAAGCCAAGTTTGAGTTTCTTAAAGTTTGTCTAGTTCTACTTTTGTTATTGATGTTTAATTGGAATTCATTGTCAATACAATGGTAAATAGGACATTGTCGATTTTTACCTTACATAAAATTCTTTAAGGAATTAAAATTTCCTTTAGTTTAGGAATATCTGTCAAATTGTCACCAGATATTTTGCTGATTGGGTAAAAATATTCCTATTATTTTTTCCTAAAATAAACAGACATTATTAGAAATTATAGAGATAACACCCAATAACTTTAATGGCCAAGTTACTAAATACAATGATAAAAGATTTGATGGTTGCTAAAGATTTCAAATGCACAATTACAGAAGAAGATATATATGTTTGTATATTTAGAATATCTAATTTAGCTGCCCACATTAACCAGCAGGATGATGGGCCACCTCACTTGTCTTATAAAGGATACTTCTGTAAGTAAAGTATTATGAAACCAAAGGCCTTAGGTTTCAATGACAAAAACTTATACTGTTTCTGGAAATGTTCAGACCGGCAGTAGAATTATGACTTAATTTCATAACAAAGTCTGGCACAATTCCTCCTTCAAGGTCTAGGCGGAAGGTGAATGGGTAGTAAACCAATGTCTTTGGTCAAGCATTTACTTTCTATTTGAATTTTAGGTGGTTAAATAAACTTGGATTAGCTGTAATCCATCATGAATCCACTACAAAGGATGAAGGTATGTTCTATTTTAAATTTCTGAAAATTCAGAAAAAATATTAGAATAAGTTGAAATAGGATAAAAAAGACAATGTCAGGTTCTATGTATAGTCTGATCCGGACGAAGCATACTTTGGTATTTAAAATGATATGAAAATATGTGGAGACAGACATATTCACACAGACTCACCAACATGAAGCAGAGCTTCCCATGCTGGCTATGAATGCTTTTCACACTTCACCCACACTTGTGCAGCTGTGGGCTTCACTGACATCTCCGGTGCCAATGCAAATGTTTGATTGCCCCAGTTGCTGAATTCTTACTCATAGACACCGTCTCGTCATGATCAGGTCAGATGACTTTCATCCCACTATTTCCTGATATTTTAATATTTCCTCCAGGTGTGCGTTGAGTCTAAGACTGTTCTAGGAACCTGAAGGTCAGATTGGAACACAGGCCTTATTTTTAGCTCAGTCTGTAGCTTTCAGAGTTGAAAAGCTAGTGGAGTCTAATTCGCCACAATGATGCAATTAGTCCTTAGTGTTGAGAAGAGGAAGGGCTTTAGGTCCCAGGGCCACAGAGCTGATAGTATGTCTGAAATGCTCCGGCCACATAAGACTCAGGAATGGGAAGTGGAGAGTTATATCTTTTGATAACAAAATAATAAAGTCTTAGATTTCAAAACGAAAAAGTGGCAACTTGATTTAAGACATTGAAGGAGTACAATACAATACCATGAAATCAGTGTTCTAACCATCTTCTGTGTCCTCTTTTGCATAAAATAAGCAACTATTGCCTATTTATAGATTGTGAGGGGTGAACAACTACACACAGGACTTCTCCTTGCCTTGGCATTTAAGGCATTCCAACATATGGCCTCATCAACCTTTCAGCTTTGCTTTCTACTGTATCCCGTAGGGCTCTCCACACACTTGGCTCGGCCTCCTCCCTCAGCCTGGTACTCCCTTCGCTCTCCGTGCACCACTGATGGTTGAGTTTTCCTGCCAGTTTCAGCTCATTAGGATTCCTATGATTAAAATTAATCACTATTGATTTTATGTTCTCTTAGTATGTGATTCACACCTCTTTTGAGGAATTATTTTATTTTCCCTGAGCTATGGTTGGTCCTCTTTCTGCGTATTGAATGCTGTTTGATGGCAGAAGCCCTGGGGTGGCCATTTATTTTCCCCCTTATGTAATTCCCTTTCACCCAGTTGTTCACTGGATATGGACTTTCTGAAGTGGCTCGCAATTGCAGCAGCTAGATGCAGAAAAACCTCTGCTCATGCCTTATAGATTAGGTGATGGCGGCATTGAAACGTTAAGCATTTTCATTTTTGTTATAGAATGTTACAGTGAAAGTGAACAGGAAGATCCTGAAATAGCTGCGGAGACACCACCCGCTCCTTACTCATCCCAGACTCAGTCTCCTTCGCTATGTGCTGAGGTAAGTAGTCTGCTGGTTATTGATCCAGTGTGTGGATGTCATTCCTTCCAATTGGGCAGAGACTACCTTGACCAATACATTTTTAGAATAGGCTAAATTAAGGTACCCACCAAAGAGCAAGTGCAATTTTCAGGGTGCTGATTTCGAGCCTTCTCCATAGCAACCCACTAGTGTGACAAACTCGGTCTGTCTGTGTGTGACCCACAGACATACCATGCTTAGAGGATTCATGGGAGTGCAAAGGGCTTCTAAGTGATAGGCCAGTGCTTGCAAAGGTTTGTTTTATAATGTTTATGCCCTACTTGTTCTCTGAAAGAATTTAAGTGCCTTGCCTAGATGCGTGTTCCCTAACAGTGCAAAATAAATTTAAAGAAGATGGAAAAAACCCAGTATAAAGAGAAAAGCAGAGTGAGAAAGATAGCAGGAAGCCAGGAGTGAGGTCAGTGCATTAAAATCGCATATAAAATGATTTATATATTCACTAGAGAGGAGTCCAAATTTGTTCTAAGCTTTGGAGGCACCTAATGTAAGTTCATATTATTAATGGATGTTGAGACCATGGGGAGTTGCTTCATATTTGGATACACTTAGTTTTACAGTGATGGACCCTAGAAAGGGTCAGACAAGGATTACTGGGGAAGTTGATTTATGGTTTTACACCTGCCATGTACCAGGACTTATGTAGGTGCTTCAAACATATAATCATTTAATCCTCCAAATAGCCCTGAGAAGTAGTATTATTTAATTTGCATTTTATTCATTGCTATTGAGGCCAAACATCTTTTCATGTTTATTAGCTATTCGGATTTTCTTTTTTGTGACGTTAAGTCTTTTGTACATATTTAGCTTTCTCTTCTTCCTCCCCTCCTTCTCCTCCTCCCCTTTCTCTTCCTCTTCTTCTTCTTTGTCTTGACTTACATACTTTCTTAATTTAGTATTCTATGTATTAGTTCTTTGTCAGCTAAAAGTGAGCTAATCTCACTTTTTATTTTTTTTAAACTCTGTTTCGTGATTTCTCTTTCTAAACAGATGTTCTTGATTTTCCTGTGTCATATTTATCCATCACTTACATTGCAGTTAGTGCCTTTTTCCTGGTTTAAAAAGTTGTTTTCTATTCTCAGATCAAGAGGAAGTAGATATAACTGTCTTCCTTTTATGGTTGAGGAAACTGAGGTTCAGAGATGTTGAGTGGCATGGCCAATCGAGGAACACAGTGCCTGAGCTGGGAATCCCGGTCTGTCCAGCCTCATAGGACATGTTCTTTCCACTGGACCCTGACACTTGTCCATCCATAGACCCAAATGCGGACAGGTTTTGCCAAGTTGTAGCGATTCATTCACGTACCAGACCTCTTCTGCCAGAATTTCTATTCTGTGTGATAGCCTTTTCATCTTTATTTATGTTTTGTCCGTTTCTTTTTAAGGTGTTAAATTGATCATTTAAATAATGACCTCTACTATTTTTTTCACACTTTCAATGGAGAATTTCAGTTACTTTTCTAATTTATTTGACTAGCAGCCAAGATAAGAAATAAATATTTGTCAAATGAATGTGTTATTAAAATCTCTATTAAATATGATTGGCCTAAATTAAGCAAGATATAAATAAAATTAAACTTTGAATATGGTAAAATTTAGACCAATTTTTGAACTTATGATATATTCCTTTTTAATATATACATAGCTTTTTCCTAACATAATCTTTCTCCTCTTTGAAAATCAGTTTCTGTATTTATAAAAAGCTTTTATTTTCTTTATATCACTCAAAATTAATGCTATCTCTAGACCTTAAAGTGTCTCCCAGGTTTTAACAACTTTCTTGTTGAATTACCCTTTATTGCTCTTAAAAAAATCATCAACTGTACTGACTAGGTCTTCAGTATATGTTCCTTGTTGTTGATTTAATAGAGAATCATATATTTTTGTTTAGGTTCTCTCTGTCTCTTTCTATGTCTGTTTCTTTCTCTCTTTCTCTGCCTCTGTCTCTCTCTCCTAATTTAACCTGTAATGCACAAATATTTGGTTGGTCCTGCCTCCATCCCTTCCTCAAATTCCTTCTGCTTCACACGCTGCCCACCAATATTACTGTTTTGTGGTTTACTTTAGTTGTAAATATTGAGGTTTTCAGTTTTATAATGGCAAACTAGGATCACAGATTACTATGGGCACTGTAAGGCATCTAGAACTCTACTTGGTGAAAATAAAAACAACCAAATTGTCTTCTTGGATGAAGGTTCACGGCTCAGTTGTACTGACAGTGACAGTCTAACCTGATGTACAGCAGAAACCCAGGGAATTCTTGTTTTAAAGCAAATAAATGAAAGGATGCTTATGAGACCAGCGAGTTAGGTCACTGAACTCAGAAGAATCTTTACATTTTCTGAATCATCAATCAAATGTTATTTCTTAAAAGTTCTAAGTTGAGCATCTTTTGGCAAGCCACTAATGCGAACATTTTCTAAAGAAATATATTGGAAATAGTAAGATAAATGTTGAACAGCTAGAGTTTTTTTTTCCTTAACAACAAGATATGTTCCTCCTGCTCACACATTCCCCAGGCAGATTTTGTTTTTGTTTTCTCTTGTTTCTGAAAAACAGACATGCAAGGCACTTGGTTAAAATATTTAGGCTTTTTATTTAACCAAACAAAAATAAAAAAGAAATCATAGTAACTTTTATCCAGAGCATGAATTAAGTTATTGTTTGACTCAATACGGTATAGGCTAGCCATGACTTAGCTACATGAGCCTGCAGGTAAAAATAATTTTTTCCCTAAGTTCTTGCTTTAGAAAAATATTTTGGGTAATGAACTTTCATTTTGTGATGACGAACTCAACAGTATATAAAAATAGTATTCTGGAAAACTATCACAAAAATTTTAAAATCTTGAAAAAAAATTAATTCAAAGTCCAGTTGCTCTAATTGCTATGGAGTAAAGATAAGCAGAGGAACTTCAATACCAGACCAGTTTGCACTCTTCTTCTAATGGGCTGAACCACCTTCCACAGGATAAGAAAGAACACATCAGGATCTGCCCTGAGCGAAGAACTTGGTTTTTTTTTTTTTCCACTCTTTCTTCTTTGGAAGGCTTCTTTCACAATATTGATAGTGGGAAGGACATCCATTTATTCTTAAAGTTAGAAATGGCCAGGCGCGGTGGCTCACGCCCATAATCTTAGCACTTTGGGAGGCTGAGGGGGGAGGATTGGATGAGCTCAGGAGTTCAAGACCAGCCTGAGCAAGAGCGAGACCCTGTCTCTACAAAAAAATAGAAAAATTAGCCAGGTGTCATGGTGCACGCCTATAGTCCCAGCTACTCGGGAGGCTGCGTCAGGAGGATCACTTGAGCTCAGGAGTCTGAGGTTACAGTGAACTATGATAACACCACTGCACTCTAGCCAGAATGACAGAGTGAGACCCTGTCTCAAAAAAAAAAAAAAAAAAAAGTTGCAAATGGGCTTTTTGACAGAGCATTTTGTGCAGAGCAAGAAATTTGTGACTGTCGTGGAGGAAATCCCAATAATCAGCCAAAGCAGGGTGGCTGTTCCATACCCTTCTCCTGCCCTCTGCTCCCACTCCCTAGTTGAGGCCCTCACTAGCCCTTGCCTGAGTTATTGAAATAGCAGTTATTTTTCTTTCCCTGTCTCTAGTTTCTCTCTCTCTCCCTCCTTTAAAAAATCATCTCCAAATTAGTCTTCCTAAAGTGAAGTTCTGGTAATACTGATTCACCTGCATAAAACCTTCCATTGAATCCTCATTGCTTATCAAATTAATTCCTGACTCTTTGGCTTGATATTTCAGGCCCTTGGGCTTTCTTCAGACTGTGACTATGTCTCATTGCTGATTTCTCCTTTGCCATCAGCTGGAGAAACTGCCTATTTCCCAAAAGCTTTCCAGACTTCCCTGCTCTTGCACCTGTAATTATAAAGTTTCTTCACTCTCAAAACCAGTTGCCTCTCACCCCAACCCCAGTGTCACCTTTTCAGTATTTTTCCAAACTGCTTTAAATGTGGCTTCCTTCACGGCAGCTTCTCTAGTCCTCTGTGTCGGGATAATTTTGCCCTCTTCCAAACTCTCTATATTTCTGCAGAGCTTTGTTTTTTGATGCTTTTTTCACGTTGTTATCATAATCTGCCTTAGATTATAGGTTTTGTGTATCTGGTTTATTTCTCTAATTAGTAATTTCTTAATGTCAGGGTGGTGTCCAATATCTTTCTGTTTACCCACAACATTTTCGACTGGCCTAGTATATATTTGAAACTAAATAAACATTTAATGGACAGATGGATGGGCGAGTGGGTGATTATTGGGATTTCCTCCACAACCTCCACAAATTCATTGCTCTGCATATACTTCCCCATGTGAATGAGAAAAAATACTACTTGTCTAGTGCTTTTGCATGACTTTGAGAAGGATGATTACATTTGACTCTCACAAAAAATCCTGTATTAGTTTTACAAATGAGGAAGCCAAGTTCCAGAGAAATAAACATAACTATCGTAGCACTTACAAGCTGTTTATGTTTTATTAAGAATATTCTTTTATGTTATATCATTTACATCTCTTGGTAAATCTGAATTCATCAGGCTGCTGATAAATATTTCTCTGTGTCTGCCATGTGCCAGGGACTGTTGCAGATATGGGGATGCAGAGCTGAACCGGACAGTGTCTCCTCCCTTGAGCGTCTTAAATTCCAGGTTGAGGAAGAGGGACAATACATTTATAACTCAAAGAAATTGTCCCAAGTACTGATAAATGCTATGAAGGGCAATGTGCTAGGGAATGGCTGGGGATTGGAGGTGGAGAGGATGTTGCTCTATCTACCCCTTTCAGGGAAGACTCTGCTGAGGAATGACATTTCAGTTGAGGTCCAAGTGATGGGAAGGAAGTAGCCAACCAAAAGCATATGCAGGGAGAGACTTTCAGGCAGGAGGACCTGGAGATGTGCTGAAGGGACAGAAACAAGGCCAATGTGGCTGGAAGGGAGTGGATGAGTGGGGAGGAGATGTAGCTGGAGGGGTCACTATGGGTCCACTGGGCCTTCTCTGCTTTAATGAAGACTATCGATACTTTTCTACTTGTGATAGACAGTTATTAGAGGATTTCAGCAGAGGAATATTGTAATCTGTTTTATGTTTTAGAAATACTCTGTATGTTGTTTTAAGGATGAACTGGGGCAGAGAAGGTGGCAATGGTGGAGGCAGGAAGCCAGTAAAATAGGACTTCAAGGTAAAATGACTTCTCCAGGGTCCCTGGATACTAAAGACAGGAGTGATGAGTGGATCTCCAGTCAGCTCATTGCCCAAGGTCATGCAGAAGGTCATTGACAGAGGAGGGAGTATATGATACAAGGTCTTCTGGTTTTTAGAGTAATGCAAACATAATACTTCCTAGGGCTTAACAACAATTGACTGGTTTGTTTTTATTAATATGGCCAATAAAAGGAAAGAAGCTGTGTACTTTACTTCCTTTTTTATCATTTGGGTTTATTTTGTTTAGTCTTACGTTAGCCTATATTTTCTTTTTTGTTTCCATACACTTTCAGTAATGGTACTTCAGATTTCTCTGCTGACTCACTTCTTCCTAATTAGAGGCTTTTGGTGGCTTTTTAAAACTTTTTCACCATGTCAAACTTGTGTTTTGAAAAGAGTTTTTTTTAAAAAAGGATTTTTAGAGCTAACTAACATTTGAATTAAGCATCTTCAATGAAAAAATACTATTTAGAAAATGGAAAAAATCAGTATCAATTTTTAATTTAATCATATAGTCAATTAAAACTGAGATCTTTAAAATATATTTAGTTTTCTCATTAAAAATAAAATATTTAAAACCCAAATGTTCTAAATGAATGAAACCACATACAGTTATTAATCTCTAATTAAATAAGATAATAATCTTATTTGAGATTGTGAGAACATTTTGTGAGACTATTTGCATTGTAATTGGTACCAGTAACCCCTAGACCCTGGGAGTAGGATAACTCATCTATACCAACTTTATGGAGAATTGCAGGGAACTCCTCAGTAAGAGGCTGAACCACTCTGGGTGCTTTTCTTCACATAGCTGGATCTCTAGACCATTCTTTGTTGGCATTAATTTGTTACCATCTACATTTCAGGTACAGATGCAAAAAAAATGGAGGTGCAAAAGTGATTAAAAACAGCCCGTTCTCAAGTAGCACACCAAAAAAGATTAAACCAATCCATAATTACCACAGAAGTTGACAAATAAAATAAAATGACATTCCCCTTGGTATGCTAGAAGCAAGCCCAGGAGCACCAGGGAAAGGTTCCTAACTGGCCCTGAGGCTATCAGAGAAGGCTTGCTGGAGGAGCTGGTGTCTGAGCTGACACATGAATGACAGGCTCATCTTGGCCAAGCAGAGATGGGGAGGAAAGGAGAGACGGTCACTCCTTTCGACCTTTGCTTGATTTGCACTGGGGAGTTTTATGAGTATATTGCACGAATGGTTCACAGAGGCACTGAGCTTAGAGTCCTGTGCCTGACACTGGCTACTCGTAGCTACAGACTGTTGGACATAACAGAGCATGCCTTGGCACTGCACTCTCTACAAAGCATGTTCCCATGTTGAATCCCCTGAAATGGAACTCCAGGTTCACTTTCATTTGCATTTTGTCAATCTTTCTTTCTGTGAAAACTCCCCCAACCTAATAATATATGTAGTGTTTTTCTCATTTCATTTTTCCTCCTCTCCAGTTCTCATTCTTTCTTTCTCTTTCTTTTTAGTTTTGTTCATTCTTCTCCATTTTAAAATCAAATGTTTAAGTGTTACATGGTGCCTAGAGAAAATGAGAAATTGAGAGCACTGTGTTTGAGTCGTACCACAAACAGGAATACACCTCACAGGTGTTGCTGATGCTGATTTACCAGGTCTTTCCTCAGTTCTTGCAGCAGAGTTTTGAGATTCAAAAAACTTTGCAGAAAGTGTTGCAGCAACTGTACTCAGTCTCTTGCTCAAACAGCCCAGTTTGCTATAATCAAATTAAAGTAGTAGCAGCAGGAGCTACAGGAAAAGCTCATGCTTGGTCTCTTTTCAAAAAAGGAAGTTGATCACATGGAAGCGGAGTTTTACTAAAATAGCTCACAACAGGGGAACGTGTCTGGACTGGGCCAGAATAGATATTTTTGTTAATATTTATTTTGTAGATCCTGCTAATGAGTAAACCATTCCTGGTGTTTATTTGGGCAGTTTGGAGGTTGTGCATTCCCTCATCTAGATAACTATACTTTTATTTAGTGAACTGCAGAACTTTGATTTCTTGGTTGTTAAATGGTCTGATTTAAGGTAACCAGTTTCCAAGCTACTTGACATGTTCCTGAATGGCAAATTTTCATGTCTGTGCTGATATGTTATTACTTGGATGACATATGTGATCACCTAGTATCTTAACTAGACATTTTAATGTCATGTTATTTAAAAGCAGATTTATTGATTATTTGACAGTCTATGTCTAGTATGCAAGCTGATTGGGCACACCTTGGGTAAATATTGGCTTCTCCCATCAAAACTCAGAGCGTAGCACCTACAAAATTCTTCAAGCCATATTGATTTGGAACAAAGTCAACTATTCTGAGTTAGTTGCGGTGATTCTGAGGGTTTTGGAGAGGGTCCTAGTTTTCTCTTTGGCTTCCTTTAACAATCTCCTTCCTGCCACTTCCTTGGAGGTGTGAATGCTTGAAATTGACAGGAATGTCCCATAGGACCACGGTCCCCAATCTTTTTGGCACCAGGGACCAGTTTCATGGAAGACAATTTTTCCACGGACCGGGGTGGGGACAGGGGATGGTGAGTGACAGGGAGCAGTTGCAAATACAGATGAAGCTTTGCTAGCTTGCCCGCCACTCACTTCCTGCTGTGTGGCCCAGTTCCCAACAGGCCATGGACCCGTACTGATCCATGGCTGGGGGTGGGAACTGCAGCCATAGGATGATGTAGTGAAACCAAACCATCCAATGCCATGTCTATCTCATCTGTCCTTGGAGATACAGGGTGACTCATAGAGCACTGGAGTCTAGATATTTGGATTTTATTGACCACCAAAATTAAAAATGGAGGAACAACATAGAGTTGTTGAATCTTTATTTTGCTATGGAGGACATTAAAGAAAACTCCATAAGGACAGGTTTTATATGCAATCATTTTTCAAAAGAAGGTGTATATTTTAGCATCAAAATGTAACAAGGATAAAAGTTTCTTTCAACATCAAAATGTAACAAGGATAAAAGTTTCAGAACAAATGTAGTTCTTTCCAAGAGAGTGTTCTTGCTGGTGATGTTACCTTGATGTTTTCTCTGTGTCCTGTTGAGAATGTTGCCAAGGATGCCAGGAGCCCTCGGAGTGCCTGTTAGGAACTGCTGTCAGAAGATTCTGTGTCCTCAACCTGCTTCTCATCATTTGTGGTGTAGCTTTTGATTTCTCTTTAATAAATTAGGAGGCTGAAAATGTATTCTTACCTTCTCTGGTGAAACTTTATTAAAGTTTTTAAATTATTGAAGAGCGAATAAGTTAACCATTCACCTAACCTGTGTAGTTATAAGCTGATACTGTTATATGCTGAGGAATATGTGAGCAATACTCAAGGGCTTAAATACCTATGCTTTGCCCACATCACTGAACTCCACTCAGGTAACATGATTTTGCTTCCTGTCTAGGTCTATCTTTGTCTTTGCTTCTCTCGATCACCTTTCTCAAGAGTTTTTGCTCCGTAAGTGTGAATTCAGTGCTAGATTACAAATTATTTTTTGTTCAAGGTGTACTTCAGTATTCTAACGGATTCCCCAAAGAGGCCTTTTAAGTTTCTAGAGAGCATCAAAGAACATGGTAAATCATGATACAGAGACTTTTCAGGTCCTAGAACAGTGAATTCAATGTTGTACAAGTCAGTTTTGGAGAACGGCGTCCTAGTGGGGGTCAAACAGAAATAAATATCATACATTTACTTTTTGACTCTTTTATCATTGGTCACTTTTTGAAAGAACCCTGGGGCACCTCTATTGAAAATGAAAAGTAGAAATGATGGTTACATCACGATTTCTTTTATTCTTTTTTTGGTTCTATTTGTGAAAAATAGGCTGCACAGCAGGCATCTTCATCCTCACCCAAATCGAGTGAAACATCGTGTTCTTTGTCTTCCCTGGAAAACACAACGAAGACACCCAGCAGTTCTTCTTCCTCCTCATGTAAAGAAAGACAATCCTGGCTCGACATAGTTAACAGTTCATCTGCTGCTGAAGATTTGGGACAATCTGTAACATTTGCTGTGCAGGTTCATTCACCTGTACCCTCAGAGGCAAGCAGTCTCAAGGCCCTGGAAAACAGTTTGGTCACATCAGAAAGTGGATTTTTGAACTCTTTATCTAGTGATGACACTTCTTCCTTGAGTAGCAACCAAGACCATCTAATTGTCCCAGATAAACTTACTGGATCAAAGACGATGGACAGAGGTAAACCGATAAATTGTTTATTCTTTAGAGAATGAATATTTGCAGGCATGTGGAACTCTATTGTTAATTTGTAACAAGAACGGTTAAACTCATGATGGTGATTCAATAATTAAGCAGTCAGGTGGGGCTAAGCTCAGGGGCTGCTTTTGTAGAGGAGTTTGCGTGTGGACAGCTCCAGCTACCAGGCCACTAATTACTTGCTGTGTTACTAATCAAATGCTTTAGAACTATGACACATGTGATCATAAAATAATGATACTTTTCCACCAATCTGAGAAAAAAGCTTGCTTCTTTAAGTGAGGATTTGTTCTGTAAAATTTGGATTCAGTCAAAAGGCAGTACTTAAGGATCTAGAAGGCCACATGTGGCCTTAAAACTGTAGGTTCCCCACCCCTGCCCTGTGCTCTGGAGCTTGGGGAAGTTAAGCCAGGATTTTGTAGTCTGGTATTTATAACATCACCTCACTGGTTCAACATGAGTTTAGAGCAGCCCCCTTCCCTAGGACATGCCCACAGACAATGTCTGCTTCCCAGCCAGTTAGCTCTTGAACGTGCTTCTGTGGTTTACAGGAAGATGGACAATTTACACGCACTTCGGAGCGCAGCATTAGAACCTTTAAATATAAAGGAGAGCACAGCTTATGCTTTTGAAAAACATTTTAAGTCTTAACAAAGGAAAGAGTTAATGGTGCATAGAAATTAATAATGTAAGTTTTTTTAATACTCTGTGATAATTGGTCCTTATCTTTTATTCAGAGCTAACTTCTTTTTATTAGTATTCAATCATGATTGTCTTTTCTGATTGTGCTTTATTCATTCTGCTATAAAACAGGCTCACCTGATAAAAGATACTGAACAGCGAGAGAATAATGAGCTACGTTTGTATTTTTCAGGATACCATTGAGAGAAAGTTGACTTGCTAAATTCCCAGAATAACTGGCCAGAGTTGCCTACTGATGTAAATGACTTTGCTCCCCTCTCCCCTAGCATAAGCCGGGAATTTTTCTTTAAGTTCTCAACTGAGGCCTTACCTGAAGATGCTTTACACAGTTGAGTTACCTGCCTGGACTCTGATGGCGTTTTGCCTGATACCCCCAATGTAGGCCAACTATCTATTTTACGTTAGAAAAACTGGAGTGATTGAAGCCATTGGCAAACTAAGCTACTCCTGTAGGTGAATGAGGAGGGGAGGGAGAGAAAGTAAACAGCGCCATCGAGGAACTATAGGGGCATGGAGATTGGACTGTGAGGAATGGAAAGAGGAGACTAGAGCTGGCCTCAAGTTTGTAAGGTGCTGTCATGTAGACAAAGTATTGGGCTTAAATGTATCTCCTTGGAAGTACAAAACTGGAGTTAGTGGTGCAAGTAGAAAGGAAGTAGATTCAGGTTCAGCGTAAGAAACTTCTTTTTGACATTGTAAATTGTTCGAAATAGAATGGGCTTCTTGGAAAGTAATGCATCCTTGTCGTTGGAGGTGTTTACTCATTCTATGGCAACCGTTTTCATTGGATATTAATCGCACATTGCATATTGATCACAATTTTTGTTTTAGCAAATATATACTGAAGAGAGAATTTAAGTATGTTGAACTAGATGACCTCTAACTTTATGCTTAGAGGATTCTTCCAGGTATAGGCTTGATGCAACTAAGGAACATAATAAAAAGTACTACATCTATTATCTTTCTGCTACAAACTCTTACTTTAATCATTGGGTCATAAGTAGAACTAAAAAAGTTTCATGCACACATACACATATCCCCACACACTACAGGATGAGCATAGCTTCAAAAGCATAATAGAGAATAACATTCTATTTGCATTCTTTCCTGAGAGATAACCCTGCAGATTGAGAGTTTTCCCTTAGGACCATAACTGAGTCATGGGAAGGTTTATGCAGTTCTTGCTCATGTCTAGATGCCATTCTGGGAACGCGTGTGTTGCAGAGCCTGGCTGGGTACCAACAGCTCTTTTAATGTAAAAACAAAGAAACCTGGTATTACTGAGTTTTGAGTTACGTGCAGAGTGACCAACAAAATCTGTGTGCCTCTTCAAACAGCTTGATGTGAAGACATTCCTCTTGGTAGAAAGGAAAAGAGAATGAAAGTATTTTTTTCCTTACTGATTTGTTGGCAGTTGCCATATGTTAGAGAATTTTTGCTGATGATTTTCTCCTGCTGCTGGGGATTTGGTTAAATTCCCAGAAGAACTGAACCACATAAAGTCATCTCTATGGAAACAGCAACCCAATCTTTGCTTGCGTTTGTGATGATTTGCTGTTGAGTAATTAAATTGCGTATTGTGCATTTTTTTTACATGTGTGTTTATGTGTTGGAGAAGAGGTAGCTTTTTCTTTTTGTGACTTCTAAAAATTGTTTTTGAGTTGTCAATCAAAAAAAGTCCTGAAATTCCTGTGTCTGAAGTATCATTCAGGGTGTTTTTATGTCAGAGATTGAAGTCTCAACGTTATCCAAAATAGGAGTTAGGATTTTAGAAGATGAAGTCTCAGTCTCGAGAAGCATGTGCTGAGCAAAGGGGCTTTTATCCTAGACAAGATTCTTAAAGGTTAATAACTGAGTTCTGAAACAAGCAGACAGCATGTATATTATAGCCTTCCTTTTGTATATATATAGACAATGAAAGATATATTTTTGCAGTTGGTATGCAATTAAAATTGTGATTGCTAGAATTTTATGCTGAATTTAAATATCCTTTTAGACATTTTTTCCTGTAGTGTGAGCTATTAAAAAGTAAAAGCAGGGTGTTAATTGCATCCTGTTGCCTCTCTGCACTGGGAGTTGCAGAGTTCCAGAGCTCTAGGGATTCTTCACTGGGTCTTCCACAAAGCATGGTGGGAAAGAGGTGATGGGGTTAATGGAATGTTCATCTCAGCTCGGTTGTACTCTGTGCTTTTCTTTTCTTTTGTGAAAAGTTTTTTGACCCCTGACTTATGCTGATGGGATAACAAGTCACAGGTTACGTCTCTACAGACATATAGACAACACACACTACCTGCTAACAATGTGGAGACAATGTCGCTTCTACTTACTCAGTGAATGGAATAACCATACACGGGATGCTGAAAAGCTGCGTGTCAGCCACTAAGACTAATACCCAATTTACGTAAATAAATTGCCAAGTACAAGTATAGCAAGAATGTACCTGGGAGTCACATAGATAAAAAGCAGAATAAAAAACAGTGTTAATGAAGAGACAAGCTAGAGAGTGCATGACTTCTCAGGAAAGTGACATAAATGAGCCAGATTTTAGGATTTAACAAATATTAGCAAAAGTTGTACACAATCCGAGTGTGAACAGTACAGATGCTGCATTATTTTAGCTAGCTATTTTGAGCATTGCTGTAGGAACTGTGTGTTGTGCCTCCTTAGGAAGCAAGCAGAGAACAAGAAAATGAGTCTAGTACTGGACTGGTTGAGTACCTAACATGCGCGTTGTGCTAACGTGAATACAAAGATGAGCAAGACACAATTTGTGGACTAAAAAACCTCAACAGCTAATGAGGCAGTGGGAAGAATTAGACACATTTAACAAAAGAAAGTGGAATAAAACAGGTGCCACAAGAGAGACGTAAACAGAGTACTCCAGGGATTTAGAAGAGAGCAGGAACTGAAGACAAGATCACATCTAAGTGGGAGGATCTGTGCATGGAGAGGGGAGCAGTGGGAAAAGGGGATGGAAAGGAAATTTGGCTGATGTTGAATACTGGGCTTAAGCGTTAGTTAATTTCAATAGATAATGGATGACTATTTCCAATCAGGATAATCATATAATTGGAACGATGCTTTAAAAAAATTATTTTAGCTTTAGAATATAGGAGAGAATAGAATAAGGGGAGACAGGAAATAAGAAGATTTGGGGAGCTTCTGTAACTGTGGAGGTGGCAGTGGAAACAGGAAAGAAAGGAGAGAAGGATTCCGTAGTGTGCATGTCAGGGTGAAGACAGATCTCGGTCTCCGTATCCTTAGTACAGAGGATGTATCCCTAGAATATATCCTGGAAATCCTATTTCTTGAGCTGTAATTTGAGAAGTGATCTGAAACTGGCAATATATATTTAATATTGGGAAAACCTTGAATATATATGTGTTGACCTCAATGGCATTGATGTCAGGTGAGGATACTCACCACCTGCTCTCACTGCTCCTGTGTGGAGTGGCCAACGAGCTCTCTATGTTTTCATAAAGTTATGCTGATTGTGTTACCTGCACACTGGTGCAATATGACTAGGTCCTTTGTAGTACTCAAACTTTCTATCTCATCTTTTTCTTCTTACTTCCTATAACTTTTCCTGAGGCCAGGAGTTAGCAGTGGGAGGTGGTGGGAAGTCACTGGGGCAAGGGTTTTGAAGATGGTGACAAATGTAATCTGGACTTTGGAGGCACGTAAGCTTAGAGTGGCAATGACAGTTTGAAAGACGTAGGAGGGGTTAAGGAGTTGGAGGACACAACTGAAGATGAAAGACATAGAGGTTCGAAAGACAGAGAATGTGAATAAGTTAAAAAGAGGAATCTTGTACTTGGAAAGATGCAAATTTAGAGGTGAAGATTTTAGATGTAAAATGGTTTTAAGAGTTGAGGAGGGGGTATTAAAAATGATCTGCTCTGAGTATCAAGTACACTGGGTACACCACTGTGCATGGCCACAGAATTCCTGCCCAGAGCACCACATTCATTCCAGAAGGAAACTGCATCTGTCATGACAAAAATAAGTCTTTGAAGTCTGTCATGTCAGACATCCCTTTTAATGCTGTGCTATGTGAATTATGTTTTATCAACAGTTTTTTGAGCACTTTTTGTTTGTATAGGGTATGGAAATAGCATTGAAAGAAAAAATATGGAGTATTTTCATATTTGATGGTAGGGTCATTTCTCAATTAATGTAACTTTGAGACAAAGTGACCTGCTGCGGGTGTCTCCCCTTGTCGGTCGGGCTGCGAGGCAGAAGTTCTTGTGCTTATCATGTGGTCTAGTGGTGTAGATGGT